CTCGCAAGACCCCGGATATTACGGTATTCCTGTAGGACGACGAACTATACGAGGATTCCCGTCAAGTTAAAGTCGCTAGCCTTCTGGAAAAGGGTGTATTTGAGGTCACTCCCAGATCTCAGGTACTAAAGGAAGTACGTATCTTTAATTCCCGGTTCATTAACGAGATTAAGAATAAGGGTACGGAGAGAGAGCTTAAGAAGTCGAGACTAGTCGTTCAAGCCTATAATAACGGTGAGAAACATATGATATTAATGCAATTACCTATTATTTAATATATTAGCCAGAGAATTATCCTTAGTATCGCTGCCATAATGACAGATACTACGGAATTATATTTACGTAATATCTCGCAAGCTTATGTCTAATTAATAACCTTGCTTAATTGCAATTTCTACGTTAACCCACCTTACGAGCTTGCTAGAGAGCTAAATCTAAAGGACGATTCTATTCTAAAGGTTGTAAAACCACTATATGGCGTACCGGAAGCTGGGAACTACTGGTTCAAGACTTACTATTCCTACTATATTAATGAACTTTCCATGGAATAGTCGACTTATAATTCTTGCCTCCTCTATAGCAAGCAATCCTTCGGAATCGTTGGCCTTTAAACTAATAATACCTTATTTGTCGGAACTAACGATTTTGCGAAGGCAGAGTAACTGAAGCTCTATGAGGCTAAGTTCTTGGCTAAGGAGCGTGAATCCCTTACTTTTGACTATGATCTTAAGTTTAATAAAGGTATTATTTATGCGGATATTACTGGAATTACTCTTATGCAGGAACGCCAGTGTAAAAACCTCCGAACCGTTTCCACGAAGAATACTACTACTACAAGCAGTAGGGGTACTATTCGTCAAAATCTCTCTATTAAGGACCAATATATCGCCCAACGCGCTAGAGGAGCGTATATTGCGTTAGTCTGTTAACCAGAAGCTTTATATGACCTGTTAATCGCCGCTCAAGCTATCGAACCCTCGGAAACTAACGTAAAAGCACTTAATAAGCATATTTAATGGCAAATTGAGAATGCCGCCAGAGGACTGAGATTCGTGAAGCTAGCGAAGGAGTCCTTACGTTTGATCGTTTTTACGGACGCTTCGTTCGCAAATAATAGAGATCTCTCCTCCCAAATCGGATACGTTCTAGTTCTAGTAGATAGAACTGGACGCGCTAATATTATTCACTGGTCCTCCACCAAATACAAGAGAGTTACCAGAAGCGTTCTAGCTTCGGAACTCTACGGTATGGCTTACGGTTTTGATATGGGCGCTTCAGTCAAATCTATAATTAATAGAGCACTGGAAATGGAACTACCACTAGTCGTCTGTACGGATTCGAAGTCGTTATACGAATGCCTTGTCAAATTGGGCACCACTCGAGAGAAACGCCTAATGATTGACGTAATGTGCCTCTGCCAGGCGTACGAACGACGAGAGATCGCGGAAGTCAAGTGGATCAAGGGAGAATCGAATTCTGCCGACTCTATAACGAAATCAAAGCCATTGAACGCCCTCAAGCGCCTCATTAATACGAACACAATATAATTGGACGTGGAGGGATGGGTCGAACGCGAATAGAGCGGGATATGGATATATGGGATGGGAGGATATTATGGGAGGGGAAGTCACGTGCAAAAGGCCGCGGCCTTTGGCATGTGACCAAAACCTCAGAAGCAATATGGATATACAGAGCGTTTGGGAAATCTGGCACTAGGCCGGATTAGGGAATTTGCATGCGATCGGAGGGAGACACTGTTTTTCGCGTTTTTAGAGAGTTTCCAGTATTAGTACAGCTATTCCTTTGGAAGTCACGTGCGTAGTAACGGGACATGGGCAATGGGACATGGGATACGGGACATGGTTATGTGATCTCGCGTCCCATTAGTGGCTCGACCAGTAGACTAGACCCCTTTAGGCTTAGCAGATTTAGGGATCGCATATTAACACCACGATACTGCAATCCCTACTTCAAAATAATAACAACTTCACTAACCTTACGCAATTAGCATTCCACGACTACGTGACGGTGCTACGCGTTCCTAGTGAACCGATAATTACTTTTTATATTTCTAGATATTTCTAATTATATTTTTAAAATAAAAAATATAATATATAATCTTTATTATATTTATAACTTAAATAATTCTATTATTTTTATATTATTTTAGTTTTTTTAAATAGTTTTTTTATTATATTTCTATTTCTAATTTAATAATATAATAATATATTATTACTAATTTCTTTATTATTATTATTATATTATTAACTAATTCTAGAAATATCTCAATTCTATTTTCTTTTTCTAATTAGATAATATAAAAAGTATTTAATTAAATACTTTTCTAACTATTTAGTTAAATTATTTTAATAATAATATAAGTATTTTTTTAGTTAATAATTTATTTATTTTATAATAAACTATTTTTTAGAAATTAAATTAATTAGAATATAAGATATTTAATAATAAAATAATTAAAATAAATAAATTATAAAATAATATTTATAAATATAACTAATTTCCAGAATTAATTCTAATAAAAAACTAATTAATATCTTTTTCTAAAACTAGAAATATTTCTTTATATATATTTTTTAATATTTAATTAAGAAATATAATTTTAATTATAAGCTTTATCTAAAACAGAAAACTAGATCTATAATATTTAATATTTATTTATTTATATATTATTATATATATTTATTATATAAATTTAATAATATATTTAATATAATTATATTAAATCTTTTTTAAATCTATTTTTTTAATTAATTAGTTTAGTTTAGTTTTTAAATATAAAATTATAAAATATTTTATATAAGTAAAATAAAATTAATTATATATATAATTTCGGAAATATTAAAATATTTTAAAGAAATTTTATATTATAAAAAGAAAAAATGTTTTAAATATAAATAAATTAGGAATTTATATTAGTTATTTTATTAATAAATATATAATTATATTTATAAAAATTATAAATTAATTATAATAATTAAAACTATTTATATAATATAAATTTCTTTTTTTTATAATTTCTTTTTTATTTATATATAAATAATATAAAAATATATAATTAAAAATACTTTTAATAATTCTAATTTTTAGTTTATTAATAATATATAAAATTATTATTATTTAGAAATAAATATTATAATATTATAATATTAATATATAATTCCTAAATTTACTAAATCTAATATAAACTAGTTTATTAATTAAATTATATTTATAATATAAAATTATATAACTAATTATATAATTTATTAATTATAAAACTAGAATTAAAAATAATATAATTATATAAAAAAAGAAAAAGATTAATTAAAGAAATTAAAATAAAAAATAGCTTATATTTTTTCTTTTTATTATTTATTTATTCTAATAAAATATTAGATTCTTGAAATAAAACTTTATAAAAAATAAAATTAAAAAATAATGTTTTATAAAAGCTTATATAAAAAGAGCTTATTTATAAATATAATAAAGCTTTATATTTAAATTAAAAAGAAAAAAAAAGAATAATAGAAAAGCTTTTTATAAAACTAAAAAAAAGCTTATTATTATTATTAATTAAGCTAAAAGTTATTTTAAAAATATTAATATCTAAATTTATAAAAATAAAAAAACTAAATTAGCTAGAATAATAAAATATTAATTAAAAAACGAGTTAATTCTAAAAGAAAATATAATACTAATTATTATAATAAGGTAATATTATAATAGTAGTAAAGAGCTTAAATTAAGCTAAAGGCTATATGCCCGGCTAAAAGCACTAGCTATATACTAAGTTATATATAGTGGCACTATATAACTAGTACCACATAATAAGTCTCTTTCTTTAGACTTTAAAAAATAACGTTCTTATTATAATATAGCTATTCTAAGCTATCTATAAGAAGTCTACTAGTATAGAGTATCCTTTTCTCTTAAAAGCTTATATCTCACTTCTAAGGGCCCTATAAGCAGGCTATAATAACGTATATCCCAAAATATACCCTCTACTTATATATTACCTCCTTCTCTACTATACTTCTTATTCGCGTTATATCTAGTCTTAATAATCTCCCAATTACAACTACTATATATGCCTTGTGCCCTAATATAGAGGGATACTAGCCAAATAAAGACTTGGGGAGGTGAGAAATCGGACGACTCTACTAGTAAGGGTATATATGGCAGGAAGCTCTTTCTATAGGGGCGAGGGGAATATTGCTTTATTACTATAGTAATTCGTACCGTATTGCAAGGTCGATCTCAATCGTAATTATTATATTACTACTATATATTATAATAAGGTAATATTGCAGTAGTAATAAAGAGCTTGAATTAAGCTAAAGGCTGTGCGCCCGGCTAAAAGTACTGGCTATATGCTAAGTCACGTGCAGTGGCACTATGTAACTGGTGCCACGTAATACTAATTTATAAATCTAATAAAAACTCTATAATTATTAAATGAGTTTATTATTAAAAGAACTTTTATCTGAATTTATAACTTGTAATTTACTAGCTTAAGGTATTTCTTAATAATCCAGCCTTTAATTAATTAGAGATATTAAATACCTTTATTAATAGAAATAATAATATAGTAATTAATACTATAAAATAGAAGTATTAAAAGAAGAATATAAGAGAGTATATAGACTCAAGTTTACTCTTCTTTAATTACTCAGACTCGTTAGATATAGAGAGTAATACGGGCTCAATTAATAGTATACAAGCGAATACCGATTTTGTATAGTTCTAGATAGCTTTGTTTTTTTGTAACTAGCATCCTTAATTCCATTGCAAATATTCTTGATTTTGAGTGCAATGCATAACAAAAATCAAGTACCGGCTAAAATCTCGGTGGGACCTTGGTTAAACGAGACACTTGCTTATCCCGACCACAAGCGAAGCGCAGTGGGAGGGGAACCGGCTATTATCTCTTTATCGGCCAATATTTTGCTTATGAGTTAATGGCTGGCGAGGCAATAAAGGAATTCGAATATGGTAACATTGAGGCGAATTGTTTTATATTAACTAGGATTTCACGGAACTTTACAGGTACACACCTTGGCACTGCTTGCTATACTTGGCGAGCCTTTCTCCCATGGCGACTTCAGTCTTAATACCAATGCGTGACTGATCGGAAAACTGCCTGCACCGTTTCAGGGCAGTAGCTTGCGAGCGTGGTCTTGGAACTCCCATCCTCGATGTCACCGTTTGAAAGTGCGCTGGTCCCTTCTGGAGTTTTCTACCCTGATTTTTTTTGGCCAATTCCTGGCAATATCAATTTCGTCTCTTGGGGCGAAGAACTCGAGGAACATGAACAGGAGATAGTCAATAACCACGCATAGACAGAACAGTTTCCCAGCCCAGATTCCACACCCGTAGTACCGCTTCAAACGGTCAATCAATGCAAAGCTCTGCACGCCCGCCCGCCCTCTCGTTGCACTCCAGCTTGCCGCATCTGCAGCATCGTATCCGTAGAAGTCGGCCTCGCTGAGAACACCAGAAATCCCGTCATATACACGCTCGGTCCGTTCAGCCACATCTGTCCATGAATACATCTTCTTAACCTGATCGTGGAAGTTCTCCGTGCGAACTTTGTTCGATCTGAGCGCTGCGATAGCTTTCCCAGTTGCAGCAACCAGGTCATCCTCCTCGGGCTTTGCGAATACCGTCATATGGTTGGGCAGAACCTCTGGAATGCCTCCAACCTGGGTACATACAACGTAAAGGCCACAGCTTGCTGCCTCAACAATCACGGTACCAAATGCCTCTGTCAAGCTTGGGTGGAGATAGATGTGTCCTCTGACCATGACATCTCTGACTTCCTCGTGCCTCACGGGGCCCAACATCTCGACTCTGTCCTGGAGGACATTCCTTTCCAGCATCTGTTCTAGATCGATAGCTTTTGGACCAGACCCAGCAATTATGAATCGAACATGTGGGTGGCTTGCAAGTATTCGAGGGATTGCTGCCACCAAGAGATCAGTTCCTTTATTATAGAACAGTCTGGAAACGACAACGATGGTGATCGTATCGTGTGGGCCGAGATGTTGTTGTACGGGAACCATATGATTCCCAAATTCGGATGGGGGGTAAGCTGGATGGGAAAGAGGTCGAAAGTTCTCTGCGACGACTGCATTTGGGATGACGGAAACCATCAAGGGGTCGAGAGAGGCGCGAAGAACGGTGTTTTCTTTGCTACTGGACTTAGACGTGAATGGGGCATGTTGGTAGGCGCCTTACCATGTATGACTGACGCAAATTACATGATCCACATCACTGAGAGTGAACTTGAGAAGCTTGTTGGTGAGGATGCTGGCAGCATCTGCAAAACCAAATAACGAATGATCCGTGAAAACCGTCCTCAGTCCCATTGTCCTCGCATGAAGGATGGCTTCATGGCAGAAGCTGCTTAAACTTGCATGGCCATGCACGATTTCAATCTGCTCTCGAATGACAATGTTCCGGAAAATTGGGAAGAATGAGAACACTGTTGGGAAGGTCGTGGCGCGGTAGATGACGAGGAACGGGACGTGGTAGACTTTGAGGCCATTCGTGAGGTATCTAACGCCGGTTCTGCCTTCGTACGCGTGCGTGATGACGATAACCTTGTGTCCGCGGTCGATGAGTTTCGTAGAGAGTTGGTAGATGTGGCTTTCGATGCCACCTGGTTGGGGAAAGAAGTAGTCGCTAACCATCGCAATATTGTACGGCATGGTGCAGGCGAGGGACTGCCCTGCGCCCGAGGGAATCTGGCCGCAGTAGCAGGGCTAGCGAGGCAGAGTCATTGCTGTGATGGAGTCGTGATCAGGTTGGTGGTGAAGGGAAGTTTGGAACTTGGAGCCGGGAGACGCGCTGGAAATCTTTGGCATCACCGGATTTGTCGGCCACCGTAAATTTTCTTCGCCCCCCATCAATCAACCCGAAAGCAACCTCCTGACAGCAGCGATACAATCACCGCCAGGTCAATGGCTTCCCAGATATACTCTCGATACATTCCTCCATCGAAGAAATCCTCTGCCCCGAACCAACCTTCCACGAAACCTTCTACGACGGCTCTTGGCACAGAAGTTGCTGCTGCGACCCCACCTCGCCATGCTTCAGCAACCTATGCAAGATATGTCCTACCCTCGAAGACGATCCCGGGACGACCTTCTGCCACCATAGTACCGGACTTTGAATCAACGGCAATACGTAAGCGCAACCGCGAGGATGTGGAGGAGGAATCAGCTCCGAAGAGAACGAAGAAGGACAAGAAGCCCTGGAAGGCTCGCGATTCTCCCCAGGACGTAGAAGAATTGAACAAGTCAAGAGAATCAGCGGCGGGCGCTTTTGTTTCACCTGCCGCGGAACTGAAAAGGTCCCGAGGGGTGAAATCACTGAGTTTGGCAGCAAGTGGTCAAGATGAGGGGCAGAATGAACCAAGGACAAAGGAAAACATACTACCGAGGGAACCGAAGCTATCAGCTGGGTCTCCAGTCATTGGTTCCACGTCCAAATTTGCAAAAAACGAGGTGGATGAGTTGGACAAACGGATAAAGAGGAAGACAAAGCGGGTCGGCGCAAACGTTGAACAGGATAGTGGAGGGACAGTGACCCAAGAGGAAGATAATGGCTTGAGACACAAGAAATTGATGGAGAAGCGGGAAAAATCCATGAAGAAAGCGGAGAGGTTCGTCCAAAAGTCAAAGTCGGAACCTGTTGGGGAGCAAATTCAGGCCGAGAAGGAAGAGGTTCCCATTGAAGTCCACGACCTGGTCCCTCTTCCTCAGCCAGACCCAGTCCCCGAGCTGCCCGTCCTTGCAGCCTCAACCTCTCTGCCTCCTTGGCTTGCATCACCTATCCGAGTGTTACCAACTGCCACGGCTTCCTTCTCCGAAGTTGGAATTGATGTTGATGTTGCCAGAGCCTTGCAAGACAGGGGACTTAGCGAAGCATTTGCTGTCCAGGCGGCTGTCCTACCACTCCTTCTTCCCGGGGAGCTACAGCAGCTTGGTGATATTCTTGTTTCTGCGGCTACGGGTTCAGGTAAAACATTGGCATACGTTCTTCCCATGGTTGAAAGCATCAGCCGCAGTCAAACCACCAAACTGCGAGGTCTTATTGTCATGCCAACTAGGGAACTTGTCACGCAAGCAAAGAACGTTTGCGAGATTTGCGCTTCAGCTTTTCCGGGTAGGTTGGGGAGAAAACGTGTTAAGATCGGGACAGCTGTGGGCAACGAAACTTTGAAAGTCGAACAGGAGATGTTGATCACCCAAAAACTGCTCTATGATCCAATTGCATATGAAAAGCAACAATCACAACTCAATGAGAAGTGGAAGAACTCGGAAGATGGGAGCGACGAGGGAGCTCTCTGCGATGAGGAAGTCGTATCTGATCTGCCAGACCATGTTTTCAGACCATCGTCAAACGTCGATATCTTGATCTGCACTCCGGGCCGACTGGTTGAACATATCAAGTCCGCTCCCGGCTTTACTTTGAAACACATCAAATGGTTTGTTGTGGACGAGGCCGACAAGCTGCTCGATCAAAGTTTCCAGCAGTGGCTTGAAGTTGCAATGGCTAGAATGGACGTGGAGGGTAGGTCTACACGGCCACTGGATCGAGTCAGAAAGATCATTTTGAGTGCGACGATGACAAGAGATGTTGGGCTGTTGAACCCGTTGAGACTTTATCGACCAAAGTTGATCTTGCTGGAGGGCTCGTCGTCAGCCGGACATGACAATATTGAGACTTCTCAAGCGCATGTTCTTCCCCCCTTACTTCTTGAGTCTGGTGTTAAGGTTGAAGATGAGAACATCAAGCCATTGTATTTGATGGAGCTTCTGAAAAGAGAAGACGTACTTTCTGGAGATCTGCTGATTGAAAGCTCTTCGGACCCTTCTGATGACAAGTCCTCCTCGGATGAGAAGGGATATCAGAGCTCGGCCCGCTCGATGAGCCACAAGACGTCGAAACGCGAACCAGACACTCCTCGAGGAGTCCTCATCTTCACTAAGTCAAATGAGTCCGCGCTTCGTCTCGGCCGCCTGATCGCTCTTCTCGCGCCATCTTCCTCTCATAAAATCGGGACGTTGACATCCACGACACCACGCGCCGCTCGCAAATCCGCTCTCAAGTCCTTCGCCGCAGCGAAGGTCTCGATTCTTGTTGCGTCAGATCTCGTATCCCGTGGTCTTGATCTTCCGAACTTGGCACATGTCATCAACTACGATGTCCCAACCAGCCTTACAAGCTATGTGCATCGTATTGGCAGAACTGCGAGAGCTGGAAAACGAGGACATGCATGGACACTGTTCACGGCAAGTGAAGGGAGATGGTTCTGGAATGAAATTGGCAGAACGAAAGGAGTTGAGCGGTCCAGCGGAAAGATTGAGAGAGTCAATATCAAGGCGGAGTTTTTTGGTCAAGAACAGAGGGCCACATATGAGGATGCTTTGGTAGAACTGGGGAGGGAGGCACGAAATCTTCGAGCAGGTGTTGTGGTCGCTTGAAGTCAAGGATACATATCCAACATTGGTGAATGAGATGCGTGTTAGTTGAAGAACTCGCATCGTATGATACCCAGCATAATCTGTTCGCTCAAAGGGGATATTATACTTTTGTAATTGGACGAAAAAGCTTCTGGGAGCAGTTCCTGCGTGTCAATTGCTTAATTTTTCACATTTGTAACCGTGACGCCTGTGGTCACCTTGATTCCATCCCCCTCGAGAATCATCTCTTCGCTCCCTGTCCTTGACATCGCATCGCAACTTTCAGCCTGGATAACCGCGCGGTTTTGCCATTGATTTTCGACATCCATTGTGGTGTCGCTCCGTAGACATTGATCTGGAGGTCCCCTGAGCGAACCCAGTGGCAAAGGCCGACAATCCCGCGTATCAAAGTATGCGCCACCCGTATTAGTCCCCCCACTGCTCATGAAGCCCTTAATCCGTAGGGCCTTCATCAAAGGACGAAGCGTTGCAATTGAACCGCCGATTATCGCGAGGGAGATTTCAAGGGTAGTCCAAATCAGAGTATCTGTTATATAATCTTGGCAGAAATGTTAGCAGAAAACCTGCAAGAAGGGGGAAGGAGGATTCGAGCATAACGTACAAAGATAATCACTATTGTTGTTAATATTAATAAGGGTTCCAAGCCGTGCGATAGTAGCGATGCTGGCACTATCGTAGTTTTAGAATTGATACAAACGCTAAGAAGACTCAAATAGAATCGCAACTTACACGATGCCGAAGGAGAGAACTCCAAACACAGAAATCTTGGTCCTTATGTTCATCTTGATAGTCCAGATCAATGGAACTGGAAGCAGTGCAAAAAATAAATCCGACACAATAGCCAACGCTGACAAGGCATACCCAGAGACAAGGGCGCCCGGAGCACAGGTACCGCCTTCGATTGTGCGGTTCCATAAAAACTCCATAGGATGGCAGAGGAAGAGGTTATAGAAGAAGATTACAAGTGAGTATATTACCACTATCGCCATTGAGGCATAGATGGTCAATCGATATGCCCTCTCAATGACGATCCGTAGAAGGAAAGTCGCAAGACTGCATTTGATAATAGCCATCAGGATGATGTAGAGTAGGGCCCCAAAACCCGACCACTATCGGTGTGTTACTATGAATGACTCGGGGGTCAGAGATTAGATGATAGCTTACCTTATGTCCCTGGATCTGGACTTGCTGTGGTACATCTTCAGTATGCCGTCCCAGACCGGCGTGTAATGCGACGAGATTTAAGGCAGTATAGACGGAGTACAGTATCTAAGTAACATGGCGGGATTAGTATTGATACACATACGGAATCGAGGGAATCTACCACAGATAATAACATGAGCCAGTCATCAATCCGGAAAGCCCTCGAAATCCATCGCCGGACATAACACCGTAAGAGGACAGCGATCCAGGAGACGACCAGGAATACGATTGAGATGATCTCGACCTTTAGAGGGCGGGAATTGCTTGAATGTGTCATCATGTCAATTTCGATTTTAAGTTTGCCAGGAGAATGGATACTCTGCAGCAGCCGCAGGCCGGTATATGCATTTCGTGAGGAAGAGCTCATTTAATGAGGTCAACCCTGCGTCGACGCCAGCGGACTTCGCCGATGCACAACGAGTCAGAGGAACTACGCCATATGCCTCTCGCCTCCTTCCTGAGCCAAGGCCAATCGAGTGATGTGGGTGAAATAAGGGGAGAGAATCCCTGAACAAAGACAGGGGTCTAAGTTTGAAGTCCATTGCAGAACCAACGGAGCTAGCACAGCCACTCAGCATACATTTTTTCGGCCCGGATTCAGGCGTAACCCCTAAAAGTTGATAGATCGCCTCTGTAGTGTTTGATGGCAGAGGCAGAGGCGTCGTTATGGTAATAAGAAGGCTTGGAACAGGGGTTATTGTATCATTGTGTGTGTGACTAGATAGAATCTCGAAAGGTACGAGGGAGAGCTCTGAAAGTCAAAGGAGGTGGATTGGGGAGCTTGTCTCCTTTAGGGAGCCCAATCTCACGTCTGGCAGGAGATTGAAATTCCCTGGGAAAAGCCCGGAATATTAGATGGATTCCCCCGCAAAAGCAATGTGGGGGAATCCACCCGGCCGAACCTGCCGAGCCCGAAGTGTGTGTTGGTTTACTCCGATGAGTGCGCCCTCTTACTGGACCGAACACCCTTCTGGAGTCTAGCTTACTGGTATGCTACTGGTAACTGGCCCCCTAAAATAAGTTATTGGCGTTCCTGCATCGCGGCCCGGCCTCAAAAGTCCGTGTTTTAGGCGATGTATTTTGGCATTGCAAAACCAAAGTCTCTCACTTCACTTGACAAATATGTAATAACTATTAATTGTACCTATTGTAATTTATACGCACACGATTAAAGGAGCTATAGTCAGTTGTAGCCCTCTTTTAAAGCGATTAAGAGAATAAGATAAAAGGCACAAGATTGGATTTGGCGTTCGCTTCTTAGCGAGATCCCCCCTAAAAACACGGACTTTTGAGGGCAGCCTCGTTACACATTCCAATGGCGGATGGCAGCACGGAGATATCCATCCCGGAGCGGCGCTCAGCAGGGTGTGTTTCGCCGAAACAGCGAAATCCCGCGGTCGCTCTCGTTGGCCGCGCAGCAGCTGCCTAAGCCGCTTTCTAGGGAAACACGAGTCAGTCAAATACGAGTCTTCTTGACTCCCTATTCCCACCTTTTATTAGATTAATAGTGTGGTACGGCAAGCCGTACTTCATAAAAATCATGTTGTTTTGGCAGTTTTTGTGTAGTGGTCACATGATCACAGGCTTGTCCGCTGTCATGTGACTTGGGAGTTACAAATAAGAGAACTGGCCTTTTCCGTAGTTCGAGTCAAGTAACCTTCGTTTCCTAATAATTAGTTGACTACTTCGCAATCGTATACTATTCCTGCTTTATCGCGCATGCCCCTGGTTTAGTTGTTTGCCTATTTAGTCACGTTTTGCCCTCTAGTGCACCTCATGTGGGTATTGGATGCTGTAGCGTGTGGTGAAGGATAATTCATTGACTTCTGTCTAAGAACTAGCTAAGTGGTTGGTATTAATTCGAGAACAATGGTGGTTAATACTACGGGAGTTGCGGTCAAGCTTCCTTGGCTGGATAAAGTCCCTGCACTACTGCAGACTTGGTACGATGGACAAGAATTCGGAAATGCAGTGCTAGACGTCACATTCGGTGAGGTAACCTCATCTATAAAGCTACCCATTACGTACTTGCGGGAAAATGAGCGCACTAAATGCTTTAGCAATTTTTTGGTAGACTCTTTTGAGCCCGAAGAGGTAGATTAAATTAACGGAATTTGCGTTAGATATCGATAGTTCGATAGACTAGTTATTGAAGTCAGGAGTTTAGGAAAAGTAAGAGGAGCGGTGATTGTCCAAATGTTTACTGTTCCACAAATAGAGAGCAACGTCGTTCGTCTAGTCAAAACGTTGGCGGGTTTTAATAAGGTCTTCGTCGAGCTTGGAAAGCAGGCAAGATTCACTCTGTAGTCAAGATGGATTCAATTGCATTCTGGGATGCGACGGAGGGAAAATGGGTCGTTTTGGAGGACCGTATCAGCTTCTGGTAGCAAGCAGGGCGCGAGTCCCAAGGATGTTTAAGCAACCTTGGACTTCACAATTAACAAGGGTTTCACTTTTCAACTATAGAGCCCTAATTCTAACCGAGCAGCAAGGTACTTTATAGATTTTTAAACTCGATAAAAGAATTGGCAATATAATCTACAGTCCAGTGGCCTCAAATTTCAATTATTTTGGAAATGTTTGCATCCCTAGATCAGGTTGCAATCAATCCCACTAATGAATCGAGAACCCATTCCCCACCAACAACTAGTCTCTTCTCTACAGCGCCAAGCGCGTCTGCATAACCTTTTCTCCAATATACGTTCGTGTCAAAATTCAGGACCTTAGCAGTTCAAAATTCCAAAACATCCCATGATCTTGAGAGCAGATTTTGAAAATGCGCTCATGAACTCCTTCATCCCCTATCCCCGGAGGGGCCAGCTGGGGCCTCGAAACAACCTTCAATCAGAACAGGTCGGCCAGCGGCTCGTAAAGAGTGCGACCTATGCCGTGATCGGAAGAGGATAGTCTCTCCTCCTAACTTATATTGAGTACTAAGCTATGACTCTTCGAAGCAGGAACCACAGCTTGTGCGAAATGCTTAGCTTGCAATTGCCCTGCACTTTCAACGAGCACCGCAAGAAGCGGGGTCTCAGGAGTTGGTATTGTTTTCCTGTCACGTAGTGAAAAATAAGTACTCGAGGAATATGAAAGCAGTCCAGGGACTCGAACCTTTCAAAGATGCGCCAGCGAATAGTCATCCACCGTCAAGCCCAGAATAACAATTGATTATGATTAATCCATCTCACCGCTTTCCGACAGAGTTTAACAATTCGGGATTGCGAGCACGATCCTACGTTCTTGTGTTCGTGTTTATCAATTTGCGCAGTAACCATCTCATCAATGGCAAGATCTCAACTCTGGTTTTGGACACGATAAGGATCTTCTGGCCTCTCTACGTTGTCCAAGTACAAGTTCTAAGGATCTCATTTATTAATCTTCAAATTATTGATTAGTACAACAGTCATGATCTACTAATCCACATCTCACTGCGTGCATAAGCCGGGTAAGATCCTGTTTTTATATGACTGGGCATTTCTCCTACACTCCGATGTCTGGGACGGAGGCCTCGAACGGGGCATCTAAATCACGCACACTACAACAGGAACCAGCATTCCAATCGTTTCTGGTTTCATAGCATTGATCAAAGATTTCCTCTGCGTAGGCCAGTTGATTTCAAACTCCACACCCCTTCCCTCGATCACCCAAAGCCATCCTGGACCACCAACTTTCTTCGCCAGCTCCGCCTTAATTGGCCCTATATTCCGCACGGCCCGTCTTAAGAATGTCTTGATATCGATTCTTTGAGACAAATGTTCCGAGATCTAGCCAATATTTTGAACGATTTACCACCGGAACCCGAAGTCACTAGTAATGACTCGCATTTTATATCACTATTCACCGTCCAGTACAATATCACGAAAGCAAACATCCACGTCGCTCGACAGTTCTTCCAAAGCACGATTTTAGAGCGATGTTCAACTATATTCTACGACTCATCAGGTTTGACGAGAACGTAAAAAATATGATTCTGTCCCAAGAACAGATAGCGAAGATGGATTTATGGGAGACCTGGGATATGGCTGGAAAAAGAATCTTTAGAGGCCTTGAATCATTGCAGTAGAGAATCGCTTGAGGCTGATGGTGCTTCTGTGGTATGTTTATCTCGTCTTAGCGAGAGAGATGATTTCAGGTAAATGACTTGTATTCAATGTGACTCCCATCCAAGAGCAGGGATCCTAAGGAAAGAAGGGCCTTCGAGTGTTGTAGGTTGAAATCTACGATGAAGCGAGACTCCTCCCTTGATTTCTAGCCCGATCACGACCACCTCTAAATCCGGATTTGTCAAGTGCCTCAAGAGTCCCACTCCGGTATCAAGACTGAGAAAGGTTAGTTCTGCGAAGGTACCGAGGCTTGATCAACTGTCATCCTGTTCCCGCATTTGCTCGCTGAACATTAAACCTAAACAAGGGGATGATCTACACCAGGGGGCCGCCAAGGCTTGAACGCTGCAGCCCCCTATTTTAGGACTTTTAAAGAAGCTTACTACTCATCTGATATCCTTAACCTTTTCCTACTAGCTATTGCAGCTACAGTGGTGGTTTCCCGCAGCACTACTGTAAGTGGCTACGGCGCGCAACGATTCCATTTTGGCTCCATCGAAGTTCCAAGTTTGGCCAGTACACGAGAAAAAGACACCCAATGAAGCAAGAGTTGATGCCAAAACAGGGAACAGATTTTCTCAGGGCCCCAGATTGATCTACGTTATCGTGATGTTGATCTTCAAGTGGGAAGTACTCGAGTACCTGGTCAAAAGTACTCCACCGGCCCAGTGTGGGCTCCGATAAGCTCGATAAGCGACAATTAGATAATCGCGCTAATTTGTCAATAATCGATAATTATCGATAATTAGCGATAATTATCGGTCTAGGCAATGAGGGGCCCGGCAGAATCTGCCCCTCCTGCTCTCTGTTCCAATTAATTAATTAATTAATCTTTATACTAGTTCTTTAAAGAATATAACTAATTTGAGATATATTAAAAAAGTAATAATTTGAGTTATTACTTTATTAATCTAATGGCTAGCTAACTGCTTTGCCTTAAATATAAAGGTTAATTCCCTAATATCTGACCTAGTTACTTTACTAGTAACCCAAGTAAACTAACTATCCTATAGTACTATTACAAGGTATTTGCTAACCTTACTAATGCCCATTATTCTTAATCTCATTTATTAGACTAGCTTTATATTCTTTTTCTAGATAATAACTTGCTTTATATAAATAGCTATAAGATTTATTATTAGAATTAGATTAATATAATTAAGAAAAATAACTT